TGTTTTTCTTTCAAATTATCCATTACTTACCAATTATGCTGAACAGTAATTGCACAGCCAATTAGAATCCAATACCTCTGACCCAGAAAATTAGAGTTTAGGTTGATTTATAGCATCATTGTCTGCTGTGTGCACTGATATCATTCTGTATAGCACCGATAGCAAGAGGGGGAAAGGAACATCAACATAATAATGCTTTCTAGCCTTGTCCCCATTTACATTTTCATTTGATGAGGTTAACGGGATTCAACAAACAGGTTTTGATCAGGTGGGTGTACAAGGTCCTGTGAAGTCAATAGAAGCCCAAGGCTTCTGAGCACGTTTGGGAAACAGACATGAATGATCCTCTGTAGAGAAATCTAGGATGTGTGGGTTGAACAGTCTTTTGGGAGGAAGTCCAAGAGAAGCCTCAAAAAACCTGAATGAGGTCTGCTAATGAAAACAACTCCAGGAAAGAGATGAGATATTTTGGCTCTTGTGAGAGTGTGGGGGTTTTCTCTTGGAGCAGTCTGAGAAAGATGCCTGCTCATGAGGACAGAGCCCTTCAGTCCTATTGGCCTAAAACCCCTTCCCTTGCTTGTAAAATGGCCAGTCTTGAGGTGAGGGTGGAGAGGAGGCAAAGGAATAAACTTCTAATTTACCCCCAGAATACTGAGCATATTTTTTACGTTAAGAGACGCCAATGTTGGATCAGGCCAAAGGCCCATCCAGTCCAACACTCTGTCACACAGTGGCCAGAAATACCAGTGCCATCAGGAGGTCCAGCAGTGGGGCCAGGACATTAGAAGCCCTCCCACTGTTGACCCCCCCCAAGCACCAAGAAGACAGAGCATCACTTGCCCCAGAGCCCCTAGCTATACCTTGTGGCTAATAGCCACTGATGGACCTCTGCTCCATATGCTTATCTAATTCCCTTTTGAAGCCGTCCATGCTTGTAGCACCCACCACTTCCTGTGGCAGTGAATTCCATGTGTTAATCACTCTTTGGGTGAAGAAGTACTTCCTTTTATCCGTTCTAACCCGACCGCTCTGCAGTTTCATGGAGTGCCCACGAGTTCTTGTATTGTGAGAAAGGGAGAAAAGTACCTCTTTCTTTACCTGCTCTTTCCCATGCATAATCTTATAAACCTCGATCATGTCACCCCTCAGTCGTCTTTTCTCCAAGCTAAAGAGCCCTAAGCGCTTTAACCTTTCCTCATAGGGAAAGTGTTCCAACCCTTTTATCATTCGAGTTGCCCTTTTCTGCACTTTTTCCAAAGCTATAATATCCTTTTTAAGGTGTGGTGACCAGAACTGCACACAGTATTCCAAATGAGGTCTCACCATTGATTTATATAGGGGCATTATTATATTGGCTGATCTGTTTTCAATACCCTTCCTAATAATCCCCAGCATAGCATTGGCCTTCTTTATTGCAGTCACACACTGTCTCGACATTTTCAGTGAGTTATCCACTACAACTCCAAGATCTCTCTCTTGCTCAGTCTCTGCCAGTTCAGACCCCATCAATGTGTATTTATATTTAGGATTTTTGGCTCCAATGTGCATCACCTTGCACTTGGCCACATTGAACCCCATTTGCCATGTTGACGCCCACTCGCCCATCCTTGACAGATCCCCTTGGAGTGCCTCACAATCCTCACTGGTTTTCACCACCCTGAACAACTTTGTATCATCCGCAAATTTAGCCACTTCACTGCTTACTCCCATCTCCAAATCATTAATGAACAAGTTAAAAAGCAGTGGACCAAGTACTGATCCCTGCGGTACCCCACTGCTTACCACCCTCCACTGAGAAAATTGCCCACCTACACTCACTCTCTGTTTTCTATGAACTAGCCAGTTTTTGATCCATAAAAGGACTTGTCCTTCTATCCCATGATTTTTGAGCTTACTTAGGAGCCTTTGATGAGGAACTTTATCAAAAGCTTTCTGGAAGTCAAGGTAAATAATATCTATTGGATCCCCCTTGTCCACATGTTTGTTCACCCCCTCAAAGAACACTAACAGGTTAGTGAGACAAGATCTTCCCTTACAGAAACCGTGCTGAGTCTGCCTCAATAGGTTTTGTTCATCTATGTGCCTACTAATTCTTTCCTTAATAATGGTTTCCACCAATTTACCCGGTATCGACGTCAGACTGACTGGCCTGTAATTTCCCGGATCTCCTCTGGAACCCTTTTTAAAGATGGGAGTGACATTAGCTACCTTCCAATCCTCAGGAATGGAGGCAGATTTTAAGGAAAGATTACATATCTTTGTCAGGAGATCTACAAGTTCACATTTGAGTTCTTTCAGAACTCTCGGATGTATGCCATCTGGGCCTGGTGATTTTTCAGTTTTTAAGTTGTCTATCAGTTTTAGGACCTCCTCTCTCGTCACCTCAATCTGACTCAGGTCTTTCAACACCCCTCCTGAAATCAGTGGTTCTGGAGTGGGCAAGCACTTCTCATCTTCCACAGTGAAGACGGAGGCAAAAAATGCATTTAGCTTCTCAGCCATTTCCCTATCATCCTTCAATACTCCTTTTACCCCTTGGTCGTCCAAGGGCCCCACTGCCTCCCTGGCTGGTTTCCTGTTTCTAATGTATTTGAAGAAAGTTTTATTGTTGGTTTTTACGTTTTTTGCTATATGCTCCTCATATTCCCTTTTTGCCTGCCTGACCTCAGACTTGCATTTTATTTGCCATAGCCTGTGTTCCGTTTTATCAGCCTCACTGTGACTAGCTTTCCACTGCTTAAAGGAATTCTTTTTACTTTTTACAGCCTCCATTACTCTGTTTGTTAACCATGCAGGCTTTTTCCTATACCTTTTTGTGCCTTTCCTAACCTGCGGAATATATATTTTTTGAGCTTCTAGGATCGTAGTTTTAAATAGATCCCAAGCTTCCCCAACTGTTTTGACCCTTTCTACTTTTCCTTTCAGTTTCCTCCCCACGTGTCCCCTCGTATCAGAGAAATTACCCCTTTTAAAGTTAAAAATGGTTGTGTGAGTCTTTTTGGCCAATTCTCTATTTGTACAAATGATGAACTCAACAACATTATGATCACTGTTTCCAAGCGGTGCAATCACTTTTACATCTCTCACCAGGTCTTGAGTGTTACTTAGGACCAAATCAAGGATCGCCTCTCCCCTGGTAGGTTTTGTTTCTCCCCCGACATACTAGTACATTTCCTTTGAGGGCCACCTAATAACGACATGCATCCCCAAGTGACATGACACATGATAAAGAGGCCCAAAATGTAGTCGGAGATAACAAGAAGTACCTGAATTATGCCAGGTTTGGGGGGGGGGGGAAATAGCACGGTATGGTGCCTGAAATAAGTAGGGAGGAGTGGGGGAGACACAAACAATCACTCTTTACACGAGCTCTGACTGGATACAATGAGTGTGCTGGGGTGGGGGGATGGAGGCTGGAGATGGTATTGTAATAGCCAGATCCACCTCTAACCTACCACATTCATTGGAAGGTCTGCCCTGAACCTATACATAAAGGGCTCTCTCTCTCTCCACAAAACTGTGCACCACGAAAAAGCAGCGTGCTTTATCGCAGCAGAGAGCCACACATATATTAACTCTACACACAGCTCCCAGTGGCCACATGGAGGTAGGGGATAATGTCAGCTGCTACCATCCTGCTCCTCCAGCCTCATGTATCTTGTTAGAACATGTGTGAAGTCATTGGATCAGTTCAGAACGGGGAGGACAGAGGGCTGTTACCAGGATGCTGTAGAGTTAGCAGCTCAGAAGGTCGATAGGGTGGGAAGTGAAGCAGGAGTCTTCAGGACCAGGACCTGACAGGAATGCAGCAGACCCTCACAAAAGTCAGGTGTAGCTGCCTAATGGACAGGAGCAGGGCTAAC